AACGCTGTCGACTGGCAGATGGGGTGCATTTGAGATACAACCTCATCCCAGCACCAGCTCCTCCTTCGGAAGACTCAGGGTACATGACAGCTGCCATCCAACACTTGCAGTCGAAGGTCCGTCCCGGCAAAGGGGGGCTGGGTTTGTTCTATGCGTCCTCCAGGACAAGGTCCACACCGACAGGTGAGGATCTCCCAGGAATGGGCTTCCCCAGCCCCACACACCAAGTCTCTGTCCTCACTCTGTTGAGGCTGAAGCGCTGTGAGATTCCGGGACCAGATGGCGGGTTAGATCCCTGGACCCCTGAGAACCTCACCACTGGGACGATTCTGTGAGCTGACCATTTAAACAGTTATTCTGAAGTTATGTGACATCGAAAAATCTTGACTCCTTAGAAGGTCTCTAAACCTCTGTTTTCTCAGCTGTAAGACGGAGCTGTTGTGAGGGTTAAATTTGATTATATTAATATAATTATATAAATAATAGCTACTAGTGTTGACGCTGGTATTAGTATGAGTAACAGTGTGTCGTATTAAGCATGAGAAAGCAGTGCTGTGAGGCGGTTAAGAGCCAGGCTTTGCAGACAGACAGATCCAGGTTCAGTCTCTGGTCACACCACCTATAAAGAAACAGGAATTTGTGCAACAGAAGCATTTGTGGGGTTGGGGGACAGGACTGTTCACATGCTTTAAAAATTTAGAGTAAGCTTTCCTTAGAACATCTGGCACGGATGTTTTATGTGTTCTTTAATTTTTAGGTCTATCAAAGCAATAAATGTGCAGAGTTCAGAAAGTCTAATAGTACTGCAAGTCCTGTAGCGCGACAAGTAATGCATGCTGGAGTCGGCTTGTACTGGCTCACGAGAGCCTATTGTTAAATTTTTAGGAGTTTTGCAAGCAGGTTGTTAAACACAGTCATTATTAAAAATTAAATTGCATAAACTTACAATTAAATTATAGTAAAAACAAAGATACTAAGTATTAAAAATTCATTAGTTCCTAATTATTTTACTCCTATCTGTGTTCTTGAGGTTATTTATGTCTATTACATTTGTATAGTGGAAATATTACATAATGGTGCGCTACTGAGAATCTCTAACAACTCTATATTCCGTGACATCACCTCTTTTGCCTAAAATTAGCAAAGGTGGGAATCCTTACGCCACGAAAATTGGTAAACGCTACAGTTCAGGGCCTTCGTTCCCTGGAGACCCAGTTGCTAAACATCTACCAGCCCAGCTCTCCGTGTAACCTGAGCCTCTGTCCCACCTTGCTACACACACCCTGTTTCCTGCTCCCCAAAGGTAGCTACTTTGATTGCTTTTAGCTGTTTCGTTTTACTCTTTCCCCTATGTTTCTTAATTACGTGCTTTTACCACAATGTCTTTCTTTCTTAAATTTTGGACATTGCTTATTGAACTTTCACACATTGTCTATTATGGAAAATGAGGCTCTAGCTCTCTTCCAGCTCTGTCTCCCTTCTTTCTCTAAACACACACACACATACATACACACACACCATGTGCTTTCCCTGCCTCCATCCTCCCAGTACATTATAGCACAACTCTTGTTGAGATAAATACGTAAATATTCAGGTTTTACATTATTACAACCATGTAAATATTGTGCATAAATCATTAGGCACTATGATTACATTAGCTTTCTTATACAACATTTTTTCCTGCAATTAATAATTGCCTTTTGTTTGTTTGTTTTATTGAGACAGGGTCTCACTCTGTTGCTTGTGCTAGAGTGCAGTGGCATCATCATAGCTCACAGCAACCTCCAACTCCTGGGTTAAAGTGATCCTCCTGCCTCAGCAACCCGAGAAGCTGGGACTACTGGTGCACGCCACCACACCTGGCTAATTTTTTATTTTTCATAGAGACAAGGTCCCACGGTTGCCCAGGCTGGTCTCGAACTCCTGGCCTCAAGAGATCCTCTCTCCTCGGCCTCCCAAAGTACTGGGATTACAGGCATGAGCTACCACACCCAGCCTAATCACTGCCTTTTTTAATTTGCTTGATTTCGATAAAGAAAAGTGGTTTACAAACTTTTCTTTTCAGTAGTGGAACTCATCTTTCAAACAAAATTTTATATAGAAACCTCACTGTCTAAAACAGGAAAATCAGAATGCCAGGTCGAAAGGGGGTTCTCGCTTCAGGGCTGCTGCATACAGCCAAGCAGGTTGCGCACTGCAAAACTCCAGTGGTTACCGTTCACATAAACCGTAATGTGACTCAGCCGTGAAAATCATATTTCCTCCGCTGGGGAGCGCGCCCATTGTGTACGGAGAGGTTCACCTGGAAGGACACGTTACGTCGGGATCATGCTCTGCCTTAAAAAGACTTGCTCCTTTCTCCAGGGCCGGACTCTGGCCACGCCCCGCTCCCAATAGGTTCCCTCCCTGTTCTGAAGAGGATCCTGTGATGTTGTTTGACCTGTCCCTCCAGCGTGTCACCCACGCTGCTGGCTGGAAGATCCTGTTATGGCCGCCTCTTGGCTGGTTCTGTGCCCCTCACGTTTGCCTGGGCCGGGCTGGGTGCCAAAAGCTTGGTGCAGGGAACACGCAAATGCAGCCTTTGGGTGTAAGGAACGGCTCCGTCAGAGAGCAGGTGAGCTGTGGAGGCAGACGGTGCAGGCCCCGTCTCCCGTGGAAAGGTCTGGGCTGGAGGAGGGGAGCTGGCCAGCAACGAGCAGTGGGGTTCAAAAAGCTCACCTTTGAGAATCACACCTGCATGGGAATCCCAGCTGGTTTTAGCTGGTTGACCTTGGGCAAGTTGCTTACCCTCTCTGTGCCTTAATTTCCTCATACCTAATGAACAGGGCTATTGTGAGTGTTAAACATAATGTGTAACCCTAATAAATCCCAAGGTCAGTGTGGCTCAGTCTCTGCGTAGAGTCTCATTTTAAAAATCATACTCTAACAGCCCAAAAGTGATCGAAAAAGATATTCCAAACCTAATCGCGCTGCTCACGGAATGTCGCAGGGGAGCCCGTTCGTCGCGATGGCAGCGCTCTCCAGTCCTTGCCTCTGGTCTGTCCACGTGCCGCGTCTGTGGAGTACCACGCTTTCCCCCAACGCACCACGCCACTCTCGGGCCTTTGCCTCTGCCTTTCTCGGCCTCATCTCTCTCCTCCCACACCACTGCAGTTTTCACCAGGCCTGTTTTTTCTCCACCCTTCCTGCCACAGCGGTGTCACAAATGATCAGACGACCTGGAAACGAGCTGAGAGGTGCTGGCAGAAAGTGGTGGGGGAGAGGTCACGCGGGACACACGCCCTGAAATAACTCTCGCTTCATCTCGCCGGGAGTAGTAGCGCCTGCAGCGGGAGCTTGGCTAAAACTGGTTCTCTTCCTCCCTATTCACACGAGGGGCCTAAACGAGGGAGACGTGTGGCTTGGCTAGTGGACCCTCAGTTTTCTGACCACCCACCCACTATTAGTAGATGGGCAGTGACTAGAAAACCTCCTTGCCTTACTTCCTCCAAACTCCAAAACACTAGCACTAAAAAGACCTGCGGGAGGGAGGCACAGCTTCTGCCTACAACCTCTCCCTTCCTTCTCACCTTGGTAGCCACTAAACGTGGGACAGCTCTTCCCACGCCCGTGCACAACCCTTGTTCCGTCCTTTTCTGGACTCTTTCCCCTCCCTGATGTCATGGACTGAGCACCTACTGTGTGCCAGGCCTGAAAGGGGCTGCCGATTCAGGGACAAGGAGGACCTCGGTTGCTCACAGACCAAGAGAAGCAGACTGCAAATCAGATGTCGTTGTTTTGTGAGAGAGGGAAGACAGCGTGCTGTGAGAGCATGGAGGAGGAGCTCTTAACCCATTGAGGCATCAGGGAAGACTCCCTGGAGGAAGTGTCATGTAACCTGTACAATAACAACTGACATCATATGATGGTAATCTCTACACTAAGTACTTTGCTAAGCACATTAGCTCATTTAATCTTCACAATAATGCTAAGAAGTAGATGATGCTATTCTCATTTTAGAAATGAGGAAACCAAGGCTCAGAGAAGTTCACTGACTTTCCTAAGACCACATAGCTAAAAAGTGGCAGAGCTGTGATTCAAACATAGGCCTGTGTGACTGCAAAGACTATGCTTTCAACCACAGGGCACTGTGTACAGGTGTTCCAGATGCACACTGCACAAGGATGCCCATTCACGTTGTAGACAGAATAACTCATATAAGAGCGTACAGGTAGGGCCGGGCGCGGTGGCTCAGGCCTGTAATCCTAGCACTCTGGGAGGCCTAGGCGGGAGGATTGCATGAGCTCAGCAGTTCGAGACCAGCCTGAGCAAGAGCTAGACCCTGTCTCCACTAAAAATATAAAAATTAGCCGGGTGTCGTGGTGCGTGCCTGTAGCTCCAGCTACTCAGGAGGCTGAGGCAGGAGGATCGCTTGAGCCCAGGAGTTTGAGGTTGCTGTGAGCTAGGCTGACGCCACGGCACTCTACTGAGGGCAATGGAGTGAGACTCTGTCTCAAAGAGAAAAAAAAAAAAGAGTGTACAGATGGACCCAGAGAGTCGGGCCTCTGTGTTGACTCCCAGAGCAGCAGGAAGGAGCCTCTTCCTGATCCAAACCTGACTGTGTCACCTGTCCTGGGGGCGGTGGGTGAGCGTGGGCACCGAGGAGAGCAGATGTACCCCAGTGTCTGCGTATGCGTGAACGGGCGAGAATGCGGGCTCGCGTGCCCCCTGGGCTGCTGCCCACCAGGCTTTGGTAGTCCCTGTGGGTAGTAAGATCTTAAATTTAAGCGTTTGCACTTGAGGAAGGGGCGCCTTTGCCTAGTTTGCACACAGGCGTGTATGGAGAGCCCTGGCCCTGCCCCACCAACGTCGGAGTGTTGGGGACGGTGCAGCCACCAAGCAGTTTGGCCCAGCCTGATTTGGCCCAGCAGGGACCCGATGTCCAGAAAAAGCTCTCTTTTCAGGGCCACCCCAGCGCCATCAAACTAATCCTGTTTTCCCTCTCTGTTTCTCCTCTGCAGACAGGCAGGATTGAGCCCAACTACCCCAAGGTCTGCGGTCACCAGGGCAACGTGCTGGACATCAAATGGAACCCCTTCATTGACAACATCATCGCCTCATGCTCAGAGGACACGTCGGTGAGCTCCCCAGGGAGGCCGGGCCACAGGCTCCCCACCCTGCTTCCCCCTGGGGTTCCCCCTTCCTCCGCTCCCCCTCCTCTCCCTGCCACCTCTTGTCATCCTTCCGGCTCCCAGCACGGGGAGGAACGGAGCCAGGAAAGGTCAGAGGGCACAGACCCATGGCGTATTGGACAGATCTGTGCCTTCAGTGTGATCGAGTTTGGAGGTGTTGATTTTGTAGGTGAGAATTAGAATTTAAAAATGAAGCGTGTGATTCAGCGCTTGTCTGTGATGGCAGAAGGAGAAGGGCTGGAGGAAGAGCGTGGAAAGGAGGGAGGGGAAGGGAGGAAGCTGGGGAGCAGGGGGAAAAGAGCTGTTGATCTGTGCAGGCTGGGCTTGGTGAAGGTACTGGCCGGCTCCCTCTGTGAGTCGTGGTTTCTAGCGAAGGACACTTGGCTGACAGAACTGTGACGTGTCCAAGGACCCACGCTGGTGACCCGAAACTTGAACTCCATGTGTCCCACCATTCCGTGGGAAGAGAGAGGGAACAGGAGAAGGGAAATGAGGAAGAGAGAGCAGGAAGAGGGCAGAACAGGGAGAGAAGAGGTCGGGCAATGAGGTGGGAGGCGGAGGGAAGGAGACGACCTAGAGAGGGGTGCGGGATCCAGGGAGAGGGAGATTTGAAGCTGCTTCCCGGCGCCCCCCCCTCCCCCAGGCCCTGCTGGTTTTCACGGGAAGAGGTAGGGCCAGCGATGTCGCTGGTAGGAGCCTCTGGATTTCTGGAGAGGGGCCCCCCCACTGTTCCCCACAGTGCCCCTGAGCAGCACCAACACGCAAGCCTGGCAGAAAGGGGGTTTCGGAGGCTCAGCTGAGCTGGCGAGGAGGGCCCTGGTGCTCTCAGGTGGAGGAGGATCAGCCTTTTAGTCAGGCCACAGCAGACCCAGTGCCCACGGCATAGCCTGAGTACAGGTCAGACTTTGGGGATATTGGAACTGGAACGAAGTTCAGGGCTCTGTCTCCCTGTCTTCCCAGACTGGACTATGAGCCCCTGAGAGCAGAGACCATGGCCTGTTTGGCTATGAACCCCAAGCATCCAGCACATGGCCTGGTGGCTAATAAATACTCAGTAGGTATTGGATAGGACGGATGGATGCATGGACGGATGGATGCATACATGGATGGATGCATGGACGGATGGATGCATGGACGGATGGATGCATACATGGATGGATGATGTACGGGTGAACAGTTAGATGGATGGAGAGGTGTGTTGTCGGATGGATGGACGGATGGGTGGATGGTTAGATGGATGGATGGATTGTTGGATGGATGACTACATTGATGGATACAGAGATGAATGGATGGATGGATGATAAATAGATGAATGAATGAAAGGATGACTGGATGATGGGTGGATGGATAGATGGATGAACGGAAAGATAAACAAATGAATGAATAAGTGGATGAATATAGTCCAACTAATCAGTTATTCAAACAAAGAGAGAGATTTTCAGTAAACAGTCTTTTTTTTTTTTTTTTTGAGACAGAGTCTCACTGTGTTGCCCGGTCTAGAGTGCCGTGGCATCAGCCTAGCTCACAGCAACCTCAAACTCCTGGGCTCAAGCAATCCTTCTGCCTCAGCCTCCCGAGTAGCTGGGACTACAGGCATGCGCCACCATACCCGGCTCATTTTTTTCTGTATATTTTTAGTTGTCTGATTAATTTCTTTCTATTTTTAGTAGAGACGGGGTCTCGCTCTTGCTCAGGCTGGTCTCAAACTCCCGAGCTCAAACAATCTGCCTGCCTTGGCCTCCCAGAGTGCTAGGATTACAGGCGTGAGCCACCGCTCCCGGCCAGTAAGCAGTCTTGATTAGTTCATAAAGTTGGGGGTGAGGTCAGCTGGCACAGTACCTAGTACCTGGGAGAGAGGTGGGGAGGGGGCGAGGAGGGTGGAGTGACCAGCTCGTGGTGGCCAAGGCCCTAAGTCGGTGGGAGAGGACTCCCGAGAGCAGCAGCAGGAGGGCAGGGCCTGTGTGAGCAGAGACAGCAAGAACCCCCATAGGGTTTGGTTCCTTCCCTCGGCAGCCCCAGAACCAAAGTGGGGACATTGACCAGGGTTAGGACACATGCAGACCAGCTCTGCAGAAGGAGGGGCACGAGAGCATGGCACCCAGAAAAGGTGATGAAGTGTGGGGTGGCTGGGGAGCAAAGCATTCAGTGGTTGCTTCTTGGGCTGGGAAGGAGGCAGGTGAGCTGGTGGGGCTGGGCCCAGTGCCAGTGCCAGAGGCCTGGGCTCAGTGGGAGAGAGGGCAGGTGCTACCCACCCTCTCCTGGATGCAGGAAGCCCAAGAAGGAGCACAGTGACCACAGCTGGCTCCATCCCTGCCTGCTGAGGTCTTGAGTGACTGTCACCAGCCAACAGGTAGCACACACACCCCTGGAACTTGGGGCTGCCTTTTACCAAGCTCCCCACCCACTCTGGGCACTTTCCACACATGGAGCCCTCATGGCCAACCTGTGAGACAGGCACTGTCACCCCAAACTGAGGGCGAAGGGGCAGGTCACGCAGCTGGAAGTGGAGGAGTGAGGGTTTCACCTGCGGCTGCTGCCTCTTCCTGCTCCGCCAAGTGTCATCATCACAGTCTATGCTGCATGCTCTGGGCCCCTCCTGGTGTCTCCTGTGCCACCAGGGGCCCAACTGGGTGAGAGAAGAGCAGTGTCCATCTGATGTGGGGGAGGGACGGGTCAGGCCAGGGCTCTTGGAATTGCCAGCAACCCTGGCTCCTCCTCATGTCACAATTTCTTCTGCCTGGATCAGGGCAAGAGGGACCCGCTCACTTCTAGCTCAGCGTCTTATTTCACCTGATGGGCGCCTCATGCTCCCGGAACCCGGTTTATAAACAGAACATCCACGGTGTGTGTTCAAGAAAAACGAAAGCCCGCACCCCCAGCCACATGAGTCCGGCGACTCTCTTTAGTTTGGCATACGCTGATGGGGGGTCCATAGCGCACCCTGCACCCTCCTGGCTGCTGGGGTCCAAAGAGTGCCACCGTGGCCCCGGGAGACCTGGGATGGGATCTCAGCTGCACCATTTGCTGGCTGGGTGGCCGAGGTAATGACACCTCCCCTGGGCACGTGAGCATGAAAGATAGTCTGCGCCAGCACTACGCCTGGCACCTCATCAGCGCCTGCTCACTGTGCCCTGCTCTGGGAGCACCCCCAGCAGAGAGGCAGGCACGCCCACTCCCCCACTGCCCAAACGCAGTGCAGGACAAGGTCCCTGCCCTCACCAAAGGCCAAACAAGGGGCTTATGCACACAGAGGGGAGAGGGATTAATTTTGACCAACACGCGGGGATGGGAAGAGAGGGTTGGGGAGAGCTCGGCTCTGGGGAAGCAGGACTTCGACAGGCAGAAAAGGGGCTAACAAAGGAGTCCCTGGAAGAGACTTGCACAGGCAGAGGCCTGGAGGAATATGCCTGTCTGGGGTTCTCGGGAAAAGGAGTCATCAGTGTGTCTGGAGCCCAGGGGTGGCGGTGGTGGGTGAGGGAGTAGGCAGGAGAGCAGCTGGGACCAGAGAGAGGAGGCCTGAGATGCAGCGTGAACAGCTGAACTTCGAAGGGAGACCTGTGCTTCTCAAGCCTTCTGAGCGTAAGCCGACCCGCAGAAAGTCGTATGCAGGGGACACTCCACGCCCAGACGATCAGGGAGGGAGCGCTGAGGACGGAGGGGTCACGGCCAGCTTTATGGTGAGGCGGGGCCGGGCTAGCTACGCGCGGGCTGGGATGCGGGTGAGTGGGGAGGCGGGGAGCACCCAGGGGCGACGGGGAGCACCCAGGGGCCGCGTGGCTGGGAGGCCTGGAGGGAAAGGACGAAGCCTTGGAGCACGGGCAGGGAGGGGCTGTTCTGGGACACTGATCCAGAGACAAGGAGATTAAGTCTTTGGATCAGAGAGGAACTAAGCCCTTGCCCCGGCTGCCAGGCCAGCTGCCCCACAAGCGTGGCTCAGAGCCCCATCTTCCCCGTGAGGTGTCCGTCCCTCCCCAGCGTGGGGCCAAGGATCCTAGCACTGGAGCCAGCAGGCCCCTGAGGCTGGCGCCAGCCCCTCCCGGAGAAGGGCGCACTGGGGACCTAGGGGAGGCGCCTGGTCCGGAGGTCGCACGGGGCGTCTTCATTCGCCTGCACTCTCAGCCGCCTACCAGCAGCCCTGGTTTTGCAGGGGAGGAAACTGAGGCTCAGAGCCATGATGGGCTGAAGGTTCAGACCACCCGACACTCAGTATTCACACCCCAGGTCTCCTCTGTGCAGGGCCGGGGCTCACACAGGGAGGCATCTGCGCGGGGCGGGGTGGAGGGGGCACAAGGGAACCCGGGTCTGCAGCTCCCTAGAGCTGGACCCCGGAGGCTCCTCCTCCTGCAGCCACCAAAGCGCCTTGAGGCACAGGCCTCCCACATACCCTCTCTTGCCCCAGTCCAGCCTGATGGTCCACTTGCTGCACCCAGGACCGAGGCCGGGAGGTCAGTGGGCAGAGCCACCGTGCGCAGGCCACCATGCTGCTGGCAGGGAGGGCGCAGCGGGTCTGGCCCTTCCCCTGCCCCCCACTGCCCTCTGCTTGTCTCTCGGAACAGAGCACGCGGTGGGATTTAGCGAGCCCCCGCTTCCCCAGCCCCTTCCGGATATCCTCATCCCTGAAATCCGTGAAGTTGTGAAGTGATCGCTGATCCCTGTCCGTCGGATCCGCCTCGCCCAGCCCCCGCCCCCAGGGCATGAGCAGGGGCTCTGCAGCCTAACCTCCATGCTGCCAGGAACCCAGTGGAACATACCCAAGCCCCTCCCGAGGGGCTTCAGTCCTGAGGGAGGGGCGAGGGGGCCATAATTCTCCCTGGCATCTGGCAGAATCCAGTTCTTTCCGTCGCTGGGTGATGTCACCTATTGTTGAAGGGCTGTGCTTTTTATAGCTTCTGCCGCAGCTAGGGAGGGCGGCTGGCAGGCGGCAGGGAAGGATGCTATCGGTTTCC